GTTCGACGTAGATCTCTGCGTCGACGGGTGCGTAGAGAAAGGCATTGGCGACGTCGATTTGCCGTAGTTTCTTCTTTTTCATAGCGGCGACCGCGAGAAGAATCCGTAGTGAAGTATGTCAACTAACCGGTGCGAATGTCTCAGTGAAATCGCGTCCGTGCTCTTGGTCGAAGCCACGTACGACCCAGCGTGCCTTGAACTTGTCGATGGTGCCATCTGCTTTCGTCTTCACACGGAAGACCCACTTCCCAGTGAGTATCGTCTTGTTTCGTGCCACGCCAATAGGAACAACCTTCCAGGTGTTTCGCTCCTGTAGTGCTTTCAATTCCTTGTCCATGGCTTCACGCCATTTTTCCCTATGCTCCCCCCCTAGAGCCTGCTAAACTGTGGCAGGCTCCTTAGGAGGATCCATGCCGTGGACCGCGGTGACGAGACCAAGTATCTGAAGTCCACTCTGTGTGTAGCGGGGGAGTGTTGTGTCCTCGGGATAAGCTGCTTCGTCGCCAGTTTCTGGGTCAGGTATGAAATTGGGCCCTATGCGTTCTGCTTCGTTGGTGTTGACTTCTGCAGGTGTAACGTAACCAGTGTCGGCGAGGTCGAAATAAGTTTCTGCGTTGACGCTTTCGCGAGGATTTTCGTCATTCATCGGGATAGGAACGGAGCAGTAAGGGAGTGGTCCTGCTTCATCCGAGGCGTTATCCACGTTTTGCTCGTCCCAGTCAGCTTCGTCTGCTGCCGAGGCGAAGTGTCGGTCACCATGAAAGCCACCTGTGGGATCCCGATTTTCTTCCAAGTTGGCAAGATATGTCGGAAGGGTGAGTCGTTCGTAGAAGATGACGTCACGTGCTGCCACTGTTTCTTTGGAGTGGACGTCGAAGATCTTCCACGCGTTGTAATTCTTTTCGATGCCCAGGTGTAGTCCCCACTGTGCTCGTTGAGAAAATCGGCCGGCTCGTGCAGATGGGGGTCGGTACTGTACCATGCAGCCGAAAACTCGTAACATTTTTGTGCTGCCCTGTTTTCCTGTCCACAGCAGGTGGGGTGATGCGTTGTTCGGCAGTGACGACGACGAAAGCAAGTTGTGCAGCATGACAGCGTGGTCCATTGCTTCAGGCGACTGGTGATTGGGCAGTCGCATGCCACGCAGTAACTTGCGCATGGTGTTCTGGAGAGTTCGGTTCATCCGTTCCGCCACGCCTTGCTGTTGATGGGCGTAAGGAAGCGAGATGAGCCTTTTGATCCCCTTTTCTGCCAAGAACTGCTTGAACCTCTGTGAGGTGTATTCTCCTCCTCCGTCTGACTGAAAGCTCTTCAGTTTCTCGCTCTGCTACTGGGAGCCAAGCGATGAAGGCTTCGAAGGCCATGTCCTTGCTCGGAAGATTGAGGTGCCAAACGTAACGTGTAGCTGCATCGATGAACGTGATGGTATAACTGTATGCGCCTTGTCCGGGTTCGCGGTTGTACAGGATGTCGCTGTACACCTTTTCAAGTGGTGCGTAAGCTGGTGCGCTGGGATTGTGGTGAGGAGTGAAGGGTCGATGAGGTAAGTCAGCTTCGGGGCAAGTAAAACACGTTCCTCGTGCTCGTCGAAGTTCACTTCCGTCCGTTAGGAGTAGTGAATCCTTGTCGAGTACGCCTGCTCGGATTGTATTGTTTAACACCGTGTTTCTTGGGTGTCCCATTCGTGCGTGCCAGATGTCTTCGCTGGCGCGATGTCCGGGTGAACGACGATACAAGTCGGAGTTGGAGTAAAAAGCGGCGGTGAAGTTGGCGCTTCGGTGAACTTCGCGAGGAGTGGGAGTTAGCTGCTGCGCAGGAGTCAATGAAGTATTATCGATGTGTGGCGATGTTGAAGAACCTGCGATTGGTGTTGTAAGTGTTGTTGGTATTTCCGATGGTTCTGCTGCTGCCGATGTTGTTTCTGTTGCTGTCGATGTTGTCTCTGCTGCTGTTGATGTTGTTTCTGCTGCTGCCGAGTGTTGAATCATTGCTAATGCTCGTGTTCGTTCTGCCTCAGGGATGGTGTGCGAATACCAGAAGCCTTCAGGACTGAAGTCGGGGTCAAGATCCGGTGGATGTGTCCAAGAAGTGATTGTGACAATCCCGTCGCTGTCGGCAGTGCCGAGATCTGGAACAAAGTCGAGGACGAAGACATTATTTTTCAAGAACGCTTTGCCGATGTAGAGTCCTCCTCGACCGTGGAAGAGCTTGAACTCCTGTGTGGTGCTGTCTGCCTCGAGGTGTATGCCCTTCGCCATCAGCTGACTGACGCTCAGTAGGTTGTAACCGAGTCCTTCTGCTATCAAAACCTTTGACATCTGCAGTATGACGTTTGTTTCTCGTGACTGAAGTTGCACTACGCCTTGCCGTCGTGTGCGCAGGTTCTGATTATTGGCGACGGTGATGACGACTTCTCGTTGAAGTTGGTGTTCACGTTGGACAAAGCGTCCAGAGGAGCACATATGCTGTCCGCAGCAACTGTCCAAGAACCATGTATCCTTCCCGGATGGCTCGCTTTGAGCGATGGCTGCGTACGTTGGATTTGGTTGAAGTGACTCGCGGCGAGGCGTGCTGTTGTCGAGTTGTTCTTCCGGTGAGTAATGTGGTGGAGACTCGGTGATGCAGGAATCGGTCAGCCATGTCATACAACTGACGATATTTCTTGTTTCTTGCGCAGGTTGTCCCGTCGATGTTGTTGAGATTTGTACTTGGGATGTCGGATTTACTTGCGTTGAGGCAACTTGACTGCTTGAAGGCTGAAGCTGCCGTTGCGTCGGTGCTGATTGTTGTCGGTTAGGGCAGTGTGAGCGAGGATGCCCTGACGTTTTGCAAAGATGACAAAACGGAGGTACTGATTTCTGTTGATGCCGATTGTTGTTGTTGTATCGTCGTTGAGTGTGGAATGCAAAATCGGGCACTGATGCCTTCTTCTTGTGTCGTTCCTCTTGCAGGTCCATATCTTGCTGCTCGGCATGAATTTCGGCGCAGAGTGCTGCTTCTGATATCTTTCCATGTGCTCGGAGTATGGCGCGGGTGGAGCGCCACTGAGGACCGAGGCCGCCGATAATGACTGTGACGAAGGCGTCTTCTGAAATCGTTCCTCCGCATCGAAGGAGTTTGTCGCGCAATTCGTGACAACGGCTGATATATGCCATTCCTTTTTCGCCTGGTTTCATTTCGACTGTCGTCAGTTGCGCCGTTAACCGACTTTGATTTACGCTGTCTGTTGCTTGATACAGGTTCTTCAAGTGGTTGTACGCGAGTTCTGCATAGTTGCCGTAACCCCGGTAAGACCGTATGTTCTGCTGCTGACTTGGAGTGATATTTCTCAGCAGTATTGTGTACGCCATCATTGACTGATAAGTGTGCTGCTGCTTGTCGTACTGTGTGCCGTGTGTTGGATATGGCAGGGACCCGTCGAAGAAGCCAAGAATCTGCGCGCCTTCCATCATTAACTCGAACTCGAATGACCAGGTAAAGAAATCCTTTCCGTCGAAAGGCCTTGTCGTCTGCAGTTTTAAGACGTCCGCGAACTGCGACTGAACTTGAAGTGCATCCAACGTCTTTTCTTGTCCGGATGCAGGCTGCGGGTGTGGCATAAAGCTGACGGAGCCACGCTGGGGCTCATACGGGGCAAAGGTAGGCCGTTGCTGTTGGTTTCCACGTGCGTAGGATGAACCGTCGAGGCTCATCGGTGTTGCGTTGTTGTTGCTGTTGTTTGACTGTGCAGGTGCCCCTTGCTGGTGCTGTTCGTAGAAGGACATGAAGGAGAAGAACTTCTCCATCATGTCTGGATCGAAGGCCGCAGCTTGATTTGCGGGAGTTTCCGAAGACGATGCCCTTGGTCTTGTTGCCGTACCCTCCTCTGTCTGTAGGCCAGAGGCAGGAGGTGGAGTAGGGGTAGTGCCAGGAGAGCCGTTCGAGGAGCTTCTCTCCTTTTGCGTTGCCATTTCTTGCGATGTTGTAGATGTCTTGTTTGTAGTCGAATTTGCCCTGACTGCTCTCATACCATGTTGGGCTGATAATGCCCTTAGGATCTTTGCAGGACAAAATTCAAGGGTAGGATGATGTAGTAGCGGAAGCGTTTAATGAAAAGATTGTGAACCACCTTGCGCTTGTGTGTGAGGGCAAAGTAAGTTGATAATAACAAAAACATACAAGCTTTTATATGAATACAAAGGAATATGAAGAGATATAGTTGATAACTGTTTTACTGTTGCTGTTGCGGTTCGATACAGTGTCGACTCGGGCAACTGCTCAGTATCGAGACAGTTGTTTGTCCTTGCTGTCGCGCTGCATTTGTCAGGTCAAAGGTCGCTGACCTTTGACTTTCGCGTAACCTCCAACAGTTATTCAACCTCCGAGGGTTGACTCACCGATGTTTCGATACGATCTGCTTCGCTTCTGTCTTGGTGTTTCGACACAACAGAGGCGCTTAAATCAGTTGTTTCCAACATATTTGAGCATATTGCCACCTGAATATGCAACATCCAGGTCGTTCGATGCTTCCCTACGCGCGCTTCGTTACCATATGTCGGCAGACACAGTCGTCGTCGCAGGCGCCGAACTTTTCTGTGCGCACGAACTAAGCTGAAATTGATCTGGTAGGTGTTAGGTGGGAATGGTTTGGAGATGCATGAATAATACATAAATATAAAATAATGATGTCCTTATCAAATTTGTATTGTACTGCAGGTTTTAGGTGGTTGCACGGCCCATACTGGTACATTGTATAAGATTGAAACCATATCTCTGCAAAACATTCAGCGTAGCCTTTATATTAGCATGACATTTCAGCGTGTTAAATCTTCCTTGAATCGCGACTGTATCGCAGTTTCCTGCGCTGAGGTCTTCGTCGGCTTCCTTCGTCTCCCCATTTTTGTGGGTAGCCACAAACCCCACACCTTTCTCTCAAGCTCTCTGGACTAGTCTCGAGGGTGTCTAGCCAGCCTCCCCGCTGCTCCTCTCCTCGTCCCGTAGCTCGAAGGCAGGAAGGCAGGATGTCTGACGAGGAGCACCATTTTGATTCCGCCGATGCTGGCGCATCGAAGACGTTCCCGCAACAGGCTGGAGCTATTCGCAAGGGCGGCCACCTTGTAATCAAGGGACGACCTTGCAAGGTACGGGACGAGGGAGATCCAAGTTAGGTCAGGGGCTTTGAGGTTGCTTGCTTCCGGTGGCCTCTTTTTCTCCTCATAGGGGTTCAGGTAGTTTTCGGTTTTACGACTATGTCATATTTCCATGGTGGAACATTCTACAGGTTGTGGAGGTTTCTACCTCTAAGACTGGGAAGCACGGTCACGCGAAGTGTCACTTTGTCGCGATTGATATATTCACCAATAAGAAGCTGGAAGATATCGTGCCGTCTTCTCACAACTGCGACGTGAGTTTGTTTGCACAGCAGTGCTTCGTTAGTCCTGCATTTGTTTCTCATTGGATGGTTTTCGGGTTTCCAGGTTCCAGAAGTGGTTCGCACGGACTACCAACTCATCGATATTTCGGAGGATGGCTTCGTAAGTGTCGATAGTCTGTATCGTGGATTTAATTTTTGGACCTTGGTTCCGGCGCCCTGATAGCTGGCGAAGTGTTGCTTCAGGTTTCTCTTTTGACGGAGACGGGTGACACGAAGGACGATCTTCGCCTCCCGACCGATGACGCTATCCTCTCACAGGTATGACTTCCCTCGTCTTGAAGGCCGATTTCTCTGTTTTGTACCATGTCTTCCATGGGGTGCTCACTTCTACATCTGAACTTGCAGATCAAGGATGGTTTTGGTGAAGGCAAGGACCTTGTGCTTACTGTAATGAGCTCTATGGGTGAGGAGCAGATATGCGCTGTGAAGGAAATCATGGGAAAGTAGATCATTTTGTCTAACGTTCAGTACAATATATTTTTTCAGATGCCAGCTTTTCTTGTTACTATTATCCATACCAAGTTAGGTCGGTTGATGTAGTAGTGATAGTTGCAGTTGTAAGGAAGTTGATGACCCTCCTGCTATCGCTGTGGTCCCTTGGGTTGGATTACAAGCCCACCTCCATAACCGGAATTTTTGTTGTTTGAACGCTCTTATTTCGGGGATGAAATCTGACAATTCGTTTCAGTACGGTGGCTGCTTGAATTTTCCCGTTCGAGCATTCGAGGTGACGTGCCCTAAATGCATGACACAACAACCCTTGTTGGCATTCTTGGACTCAGACGTGTGTATTCATGCAGCACCTGTTTCGGGCTGCACTGCTACTTCACACTCCAGCGCCTTAACGACCGTCCACACGAGCAGTGAATTCTCTCCTCGGCCTAGCCATCTGTGATGGCGTCGTCTGCGCAACCGCTGCAGGAAGACTCGGTAGCATTCTTCACAAACATAGGGACCATGGCTGCTGCAATTTTTGAAGAATCTGACGTCCACTCCTCTCGGGTCTCTGCATATTTTGACCGCGTGGTTGCAGTACGCGATGCATTCAAACTACTTTACGGCAAAGAGCCGATGCTTATCTCTCGAGCACCAGGTATGTGGGATAGTGAGGTTGAACAGTACGAAGAGCTGTTCCGTTTGTGTAGAGAGGCCAAACCCTTGAGTCATCGTCGCCTTCACGGTAAATGACAAAACATACCGCATGTCTGAGCCCGACTGGACGCAGGGCGTGTGAATCTCATCGGCGAGCACATTGACTACGAGGGGTACGCGGTGCTGCCCATGGCCATTCACCTGGATACCCTTGTCGCCATCAGCTGTGCACGGACGCCAAGCACGGGGGCATCTGCGTGTAAGGATGACTCGCCTTTCCCGCCCCGCCTGCGCGTGGCGAACATGGACCCCGCCAAGTACCCTGCCACTGGAGTTCAGTATCCACGCCAAGCTGGTAGCCCGAAGCTCACGGCCCATCAAGCTCATGCCGCATATACTCAGCCCACAGGCGCTCGATTTTATCTGTCTCTCAGACGACCTGTCTTAGTCGACCAGATGTCCCGTGAAGCCTGTTGATCCAGCAAGTGTCAAATTTTCTGTACTTGATATAACAAACATGTATTTTGAGTCAGGCATGATGTTGAGTTCATTGCCTTGCAGGAAGTTGATACAAACAACCACAGCTGGGGCAGCTACTTTCTTTGTGGGTATGGTTCCTCCTCCGTCACAAAATCGCTGCTTTCAGATTTCTAACCCCCTGGCTAAACGCAGCTGTTGTGGCTGATTACAATCTATAATGTCTGGCGCATGGGATGTTCCTGTTCTCTTTAAAAGGTCATCTCACATGCTTGGTTCTTTTACTGCACGTTTAAAACATTTTGCTACTTTTTGTGCTTTATGCTTGTGTTGTGCAACCAGATACAAGGGCGTCTGGGACCACGTGCACGAGGCAGGGGGTAGAGAGGAACCAACTCTTGGACTTGATGTGCTTGTGGATGGCCGCGTGCCTCTTGGTGAGAAGAACATTGCCCACTGGTTCCCCGTGTGCGCTTGTCATTCTCCATGCCCGTACAAGTTCGTGTTCTCCCACCTCAGCCACCTCATTTGGACCTCTGCTCGCTGCTCCGTCTTAGAGCTCTGGTGCTTACCCACTATGCTGCCCGTCTTTCTCTTCTCATGCGCCACTGTGTCCAGGGTCTGGCCTGTCCAGCTCAGCTGCCCTCGTGTGCTCCTCTGCCATCGCTGTCATGGCCGCCCTTGGATTTTCCTTCCCCAAGGTGCTGCTCCCGCCCTCATTCTCTGTTGTTGCTCCTCAACTCTCCTCAGCCGTTTCTTTCTTGAAACCTTTCTGTTTCCTGAAAGTTACGTGGCTCTGTCTCTCCCTAAGTATGATCTTCTTACTGCCTCCCTCTCAGGCGGAGATAGCTGACCTGGCATGCCGCTGCGAGCGATACATCGGCACTCAGTCTGGCGGCATGGACCAGGTGACGTTCCTTCCATGCTCTAACTGTCCCTCCCCCCAGCGGTGCTTGTTCTTGAGAGAGAAGGGGCACAGCGCAGGTAACGAGCATGGGAAGGTCAAGTGCGAGGCGACTTAGTAAAAAGGCCAAGGGTGAGTGCAGCATGTGCAACAGAATGAGTCGCAGAAGATGAGCAGATGGGGTAAGATTAACTGAAGCGAAGGGGAGGGGGAAGTGGGCATGAGAAAGAGGTTAAAGAGCAGCTGCACCAGGCATGGCACCCTGGCTTTGAAGTGGCAGTGGTGAGGGGTGTGCAGCACAACCGGCAGTGGTGAGGGGTGTGCAGCACAACCGGCAGTGGTGAGGGGTGTGCAGCACAACCGGCAGCGGTGAGGGGTGTGCAGCACAACCGGCAGCGGTGAGGGGTGTGCAGCACAACCGGCAGTGGTGAGGGGTGTGCAGCACAACCGGCAGTGGTGAGGGGTGTGCAGCACAACCGGCAGTGGTGAGGGGTGTGCAGCACAACCGGCAGTGGTGAGGGGTGTGCAGCACAACCGGCAGTGGTGAGGGGTGTGCAGCACAACCGGCAGTGTCAGGTGGTGAGGAGCTCAAGCAGCTGCGTGGGGAAGCATGGCTCCCAGCGACGTGTCCTGTGGTCATGCACTTCTGTGGATAAGTGCATGCGATGCGTCAGCAATGCCGTTTTGAGTAAGTCAGCCCTTAGGTCTCAGATCTGCAGAGAGCCCATCCTGCCCCCATTCACCCCCGCTGCCAGTGTTTTGTTTTCTCCCGCGGAGGATGAAGCATGACCTGAGTTGCACATCTCCCTTCACTGCGTCCATGCGTGCCCGGTTTCTGCCAGGCCATTTCCATCTTTGGAGAGCGCGGCGTGGCGCAGCTGATAGAGTTCAACCCCGTGAGGGCGCACCCGGTGCCGCTGCCGTCCGCCTCTGTCTTCGTGATCGCCAACTCCCTGGCTGTCTCCAAGAAGGCCGAGACTGCCGCCACCAACTACAACCGCCGGGTTGTTGAGTGCCGCCTCGCCGCCGTGAGTTGGGGGACGAGCAAAGCGTGGGCGGCTGTGTCATGCTGCAGGTTCGGAATATTGGTGACGGTGCGCGCTTCTGTTCTTGCACCCGATTCCATTGGTCCATTCCTTTTCCCATTCCTCCATGTGTTCCCCACGGCACCAGATGGTACTGGCAGTGCGGCTGGGAATGGAGCCTGCCACAGCCCGCACCTCCATCAGCACGCTGGCAGACGTGGACGCCCTCTGTGCTGCCAGCAGCGCGTCACCACAGCCACCAGACGAGCATGCTGCGCTGGATGCTGTGCGGGTGAGTCCTGCCTGCACGTCGCATGCCATGCCACATCTGCTCCTTTTCCAGCAGGAGCGCCAATTCTTAAACAGTGGGCTATACGGCTCACACTTGTCAGTGTCACTCTGCTGCCCTGGTCTGCGTGTGTCTTGCACCACTGGTCCTCCCTGCAGCGCTGCCTGCATACTGACCCGTACAGCGCGTGCGAGATGGAGGCTCTTCTTCAAGCTCCACTTGCCTCTGTCTTTGCCGACTCACCAACCTCTCTCGCTGTCATCGCTGCCGCCACCGAGTTCAAGTTACAACAGGTATGCTTGCTCTTGTAGCAATGCATGCTCGTTGCTCACTCTGAATTTATGCCGCAACAGCTATGCTCATTGTCTTGCCACCCCGTAGCCGCTCAATTATTGAGCTTTGGCAGTGAAGGTCAGCAGCCAGCCAGGGTGGCAGTTGAGCTTATCGTGATCATCATTTCTTGCTTTTCCCCACATGTGCATGCATGCATGCACGCTAGCTCAGTTTGTCATGTCGCCACCCTTGTCTGGAGCGTTGAGTGGGTCCACCGACATGTGCATCCCTGTCTCATTCCCTTCTCACACGCTCCATGCACCCCTTGCACCCACCTGCATGGGTGCGGTTGTGTGTGCTTATGCATGCATGCACCCACCTGGCATCCACCGCATGACGCCAGAGGGCTCTTCATGTGTATGCGGAAGCACATCGCGTCTTTGCATTCCGAGACGCTGCTCTCTCTGCACCGTCTGACTCGTAAGCCCACTTCGTGTCTATCCCTCTCCGCCTCGTCAGTTCTTGTTTGTTATGTACATGTTAGCGCAACACCTCGTTATTTTTGTCTGTAGGTCCTTTAAGAGTCAATCAAGGGCATGTGAAATCAGGGCTATTCCAGCTCCTGCCTCATCCTTCCTATTGTTGACTCTCTTGCTTGGAGTCTGCATTTGTTGCTTATTGGTTCACTGAGGAACCATCATCTCTGTCCCTCGCACTCTTCTTGCGCACCCCCTCATTCCTCTTAACCACCCTCGCATCATTCCACATGTTGTCAGAGTCTCCCCATTCTCCTTCTTATGTGACTCCGTAATGTTTACGACTTGTTTTCATCGCAACCTCTCGTGCTGGTCTGCACCCTTCTTGTTCTTTCACTGCCACAACAGTGGCTTTCGCTTCATGCCTTGCTGCCCTCGCGTCCCCCCGCCTCCCCCCTTCTCCTCTCGCCCCCCTCTCTTTGCTTCCATTCATGCTCCCTGCCGCAGCACTGCACCCGCCCTTTCAGCAGCCCCCTCTGTGCTGCTCTCTCTTGGCCGCCTTATGGACGACAGCCATGCCAGCTGCCGCGACCTCTATGAGTGCAGGTGAAGCATGGCAGGCACAAGTGTCTCTTGGAGCAGGAGTGCGTGAGCCAGGCACAAGGGACGGACAGACGGCTAGATTGACAGCTTAGCACTGGCCATGGGAAGGTGCAAGGCACATGCAGGAGGCTGCTGCTGTCTTGTTCTGTGCCTCTTCATTCATCTCCCCTCCACTGCATCATCATCCCTTTCAGCGACTGTATCCACTCCTGCTCTCTGCATGCCGTCGTGCTGGCTTCCCTCCACTCCTGCTCTCTGCATGCCGTCGTGCTGGCTTCCCTCCACTCCTGCTCTCTGCATGCCGTCGTGCTGGCTTCCCTCCACTCCTGCTCTCTGCATGCCGTCGTGCTGGCTTCCCTCCACTCCTGCTCTCTGCATGCCGTCGTGCTGGCTTCCCTCCACTCCTGCTCTCTGCATGCCGTCGTGCTGGCTTCCCTCCACTCCTGCTCTCTGCATGCCGTCGTGCTGGCTTCCCTCCACTCCTGCTCTCTGCATGCCGTCGTGCTGGCTTCCCTCCACTCCTGCTCTCTGCATGCCGTCGTGCTGGCTTCCCTCCACTCCTGCCCTCTGCATGCCGTCGTGCTGGCTTCCCTCCACTCCTGCTCTCTGCATGCCGTCGTGCTGGCTTCCCTCCACTCCTGCTCTCTGCATGCCGTCGTGCTGGCTTCCCTCCACTCCTGCTCTCTGCATGCCGTCGTGCTGGCTTCCCTCCACTCCTGCTCTCTGCATGCCGTCGTGCTGGCTTCCCTCCACTCCTGCTCTCTGCATGCCGTCGTGCTGGCTTCCCTCCACTCCTGCTCTCTGCATGCCGTCGTGCTGGCTTCCCTCCACTCCTGCTCTCTGCATGCCGTCGTGCTGGCTTCCCTCCACTCCTGCTCTCTGCATGCCGTCGTGCTGGCTTCCCTCCACTCCTGCTCTCTGCATGCCGTCGTGCTGGCTTCCCTCCACTCCTGCTCTCTGCATGCCGTCGTGCTGGCTTCCCTCCACTCCTGCTCTCTGCATGCCGTCGTGCTGGCTTCCCTCCAACGTCAACGTTAACACTCCCTGTCCGTCCCACGCCCTTCCTGGGAGTGCCACAGTTCCCCCGAGCTCGAGCAGCTGGTGGCGTGCTGCAAGGCGCACGGTGCCCTGGGAGCCCGCCTCACAGGTGCTGGCTGGGGCGGCTGTGTGGTGGCGCTGGTGCATGCTCACGAGACAGACTCCTTCCTCGCGCACCTCAAGGTATTGTGGCTCAGAGCACCTTGCACTGCCACTTGCACTCCCGATGGAAACAAAAAAAGAAAACTATTATCCTCTGCTACTCACCGCACTCTTGTGCTTCTTCCCCTGCGCGCACTGCAGGAAGACTTCTACGCACCCAAGATTGCCGCCGGCACCATCACTGCTGCCGACCTGCCCAACTGTGTTTTTGCTTCCCACCCTGCAGCAGGGGCAGCCGTGCTCAGGCTCTGACCTCCTGCACGTCCTCCCTCCTCTGCCTGCTTTAGTTGCACATGAGTTGCGGGGCATGCTGCCCACAAGGGATAGTTTACTTCAGTGCCATGTCATTCTAATAATGCTTCACTATTTTACAAGCATTTCATACATGGAAAGCGTTGCCCACTATCCATGAGTGAAGCTGGGCCCACATGCCCCGGCACCACAGCTGGCAGCACCAGGCATCCATGCCAGGGGCCGCTGCTCCCACCACCTCCTCTCTGCCTGCTCCCCCATTGCCCACCCTGACTCCTCTTCCCCTCGCTCCTCGCTTCTGCCACCGATGCTGGGCCTAGCCGCAGCGGAGGAAGGGGCATGAGAGCTATGGGTGAGGCACAGGGCCTGCCAGTGGGTGTCGGGGTCGGGGTCGGGCAGGGGCGCGGACCTGAAGCACATGCAGCGCGGCGCAGCGAGCATGTCGTGCAATGCCTCAGCGATGGCCACACACAGCAGCAGTGCCAGCGGCACCGACTCCTCTCGTGCCACCTCCACCACGCACCCCCTCCAGTTCACCAACGCTGTGGCGTGCGCTGCCCCGCCCCCCCCAGGGCAGCGCACGAGCGTGGCAAAGCCATGCTCCTCTGATGCTGCCGCCCCGCACACAGTGTAAGACAGGTGCCGGCCTGGCAGTAGCGCCACCTGCGGGCAGATGGGGGGGGAGGGGGGGGGAGGAGGGGGGGGGGGGTGAGGTACGAGGTGTGCACGGAATGCATTCACGATAGGGGGCTGAGGTGGTGAGACAGGGAAGAGTATGGAGGGAGGGGTTAGGAGGCAGAGGCGGACACTCACCTGATGGCCGCCCTCCTCCTGCAGCTCCAGCTGCAGTGAGCCCTTTACCAGCGCCCCATCCACCACTCTGCACCGCACTCCCAGCTCCGCCATTGCAGCACCAGGCAAGCATCCCATGAGCGCATAGCGCGCCACCAACTCCTCCCCTGCACCTTCCCTCTCCCGGACACTGTCTCCCCACTGCACCCTTCCCGCGCCTCGAGGCACAGCCTGCGCCAGCACTGGCCCGCGGCACACCCCCACGCGCTCATGCAGGGGGGCGGTGAGGGGCAAGTGCGTGGCGTCCGTGGGCATGTAGCTCCACCCCCCCTGCTCCACCGCTCCACGTGCCGTTGGGTGGGTGGGGGAAGTGAGGGGGAGAGGTGCAAGTGGGAATGGAAGGGAAGGGAAGTGGGATCAAGCAAGGGAAAATCAGAAATGGCACAGGCTGTCGGGAATCCTGTGACACAAGGCAGAGCGAGTGGCACAATGGGCTGATGCAGCAGCCACCTGGTGCTGTTATCTGAAGCCGTTACCTGATGTTAGCACCTGATGTCATCACCTGATGCAATCACCTGATGCAAGCACCTGATGCAAGCACCTGATGCAAGCACCTGATGCAAGCTCCTGATGCAATCACCTGATGCAGCACGATTGTCCGCTCCGTTGGCTGAAGTGGCTTTGGGCGCTTGTGGTCCTCCCTCACTCCCTCTGCCACTCTGCTCCACGGCTCAACAGACGAAGGAACAGACAATGGTGCCGTGCAACAGACAGAGTCAGGAAGAAGGGGCGGGTTGAAGGGCAGGAAAAAGACAAGGAGAAGCAGATGAGTGGGGATGGGCTAGGGAGGTGTAACAAACGAGGCCTGGAGTATGAAGAAGCATATTGGCGATATCACAAGTGTGGCCATGAGTCCAAGGGAGAGGAGTGGTGTGGGGCGACACATGAAGAAAGGCAGACACCAACCAGTGCAGAGCAAGTGACACGCATGCACTGGCCTTCATGTACCCACCTGGTGCGCATGACAAACGCCTCCCACCTGGTGCGCATGACAAACGCCTCCACGCCCCTGTGGTCCACCACTGTGCGTGACACCCACCGCCCCGCCTGATCTCCACACACATGCATGCCGCACATGCAAACGCACAGGATTCATGCACATAAAAACTCTTGCAATCGGAAACATGAGGACCGTTTCACGGTTTTATACCCTCGCCTGCCCCCTTGCTTGCCAGTCCGCTAGCCCTTTGTTGTTTTCACCTGAGGGTGGTGCTGAGCCAAGGCAGCGCAGAGCATGGCACCGCGGTCATCAGATGTGCACACAAGCACGGCGCGCAGCAGGAAGGGCGCTGCTGTGGCAGGGGTCAGCGACACGCCCACCTGCAACCCTGCCTGCCCCGCCGCACACCGCACACTGCCCTCCGCCCTGCCTCTGCCCCCACCCACCCTCTCCACGCCCCCTTCTTCTGCTGCCCTCGCCGCCAAGCCACTGCTCCCTGCGGCAGCTGTGCTGACCGCAGTGAGAGGGGCTGTGGCAGCAGCATAGACAGCGGGGGTGCAGCCTGGGGGGGCGAGGGGCAGCAGGCAGTGGAGCAGCAGCGAGGGGTGCTGCAGCAGGCGGTGCCACGTGAGCACCGCTGACCCCAGCTCATGGGGTGCAGGGGGGAGCAGCCAGGGCAGCAGCGAAGAGAGCAGCGACGGCGAGTGGGCGTGCAGACTCAGCAGCAGCCCCTCTGAAGCCACCTCCGCCTGCAGTGAGAAGCGGTGCCGCCAGCGCGGTGGGGGGGCTGCCGGATGGAAGGGCAGGGCGGCTGTGCGGGCGGAGAAGGCAGGGGCGGCATGAAGGGCGGAGAGGGAGACGGAGAGGCAGTCAGGGGCGGGCAGCAGCAGCCCCCTCACGGTCCACACGGTGACCTCCACGTCCACTGTGCTGCGCTGCCACAGCCCCAGCCCTGCATTCGCCTCACCCGCACACACACGCCCCGCCACTGCCATGCCCCGCACCTTTGCCCCCTGCTCGCCTGTGCCCCCGCTTCCCACACTCTCCTTCTTCGCATCTTCTTCCTCACTACTCCTCAAATGCTGCTCCACGTGCTGGCGCCGCTGCTGCCTCTCCACATCTGCCCCTGAGGCGGTGTCTGAACGGCACTGGGTGTGTGCCCATGAGCCCTCCTGCTCACCTGCCCCCACTGCCTCTGCCTGCTGCTCGTGGCCCACAGCTGCCCCGCCCATGCGCATAGGTGGTGCCAGGGAGCTTGCATGAGCAGGGGTCATGCCCTCCCACAGCAGTGGCATGGCTCCTGCGCGGGCAAAGGGCACGGCGAACGTGCGCTCCCACAGCAGTGCCGTCGCCCTGTGCGTCGCCTCCAGTCGCCGTGCCCCCGGTGAGGACGAGCCCGCTAGGGCGCAGGGCGAGCAGGCGAGGGCGGAGGGAGCGAGGGCGGGTGTGGGCGAGAGGGGGTCGGCGTGGGCGATGAGGCGACCCGCCAGGTGGTGGCAGTCCAAGGCGTAGGCGCGCGCACACATCTGGGGCGATGCAGGGGGGAAGGAGGGGGGAGGGGAGGGGAGGGGGCGGGCAGCGTAGCAGTGAGGAGGAGGTGAGAGGAGAGGTGGTGAGGCGAGAGCAGGGGTCTTGAGCAAGTGTGTGCATGCCATGACTCCATATACTGCAAGCTTGCAGTATAAGTTCCATGTGCGCATGCTACCATGTGGGCATGCCCCCATGTGCGCATGCTACCATGTGTGCATGCTACCATGTGCGCATGCTACCATACCATGTGGGCATGCTACCATGTGCGCATGCTACCATGTGCGCATGCTACCATACCATGTGGGCATGCTACCATGTGCGCATGCTACCATGTGCGCATGCTACCATGTGGGCATGCTACCATGTGCGCATGCTACCATGTGCTCATGCTACCATGTGCGCATGCTACCATGTGCGCATGCTACCATGTGCGACATGCTACCATACCATGTGGGCATGCCCCCATGTGCGCATGCTACCATGTGCGCATGCTACCATACCATGTGGGCATGCTACCATGTGCGCATGCTACCATGTGCGCATGCTACCATGTGCGCATGCTACCATGTGTGCATGCTACCATGTGCGCATGCTACCATACCATGTGGGCATGCTACCATGTGCGCATGCTACCATGTGCGCATGCTACCATGTGGGCATGCTACCATGTGCGCATGCTACCATGTGCGCATGCTACCATGTGCGCATGCTACCATACCATGTGGGCATGCTACCATGTGCGCATGCTACCATGTGCGCATGCTACCATACCATGTGGGCATGCTACCATGTGCGCATGCTACCATGTGCGCATGCTACCATGTGGGCATGCTACCATGTGCGCATGCTACCATGTGCGCATGCTACCATGTGCGCATGCTACCATGTGCGCATGCTACCATGTGCGACATGCTACCATGTGGGCATGCCCCCATGTGCGCATGCTACCATGTGCGCATGCTACCATACCATGTGGGCATGCTACCATGTGCGCATGCTACCATGTGCGCATGCTACCATGTGCGCATGCTACCATGTGTGCATGCTACCATGTGCGCATGCTACCATACCATGTGGGCATGCTACCATGTGCGCATGCTACCATGTGCGCATGCTACCATGTGGGCATGCTACCATGTGCGCATGCTACCATGTGCGCATGCTACCATGTGCGCATGCTACCATACCATGTGGGCATGCTACCATGTGCGCATGCTACCATGTGCGCATGCTACCATACCATGTGGGCATGCTACCATGTGCGCATGCTACCATGTGCGCATGCTACCATGTGGGCATGCTACCATGTGCGCATGCTACCATGTGCGCATGCTACCATGTGCGCATGCTACCATGTGCGCATGCTACCATGTGCGACATGCTACCATGTGGGCATGCCCCCATGTGCGCATGCTACCATGTGCGCATGCTACCATACCATGTGGGCATGCTACCATGTGCGCATGCTACCATGTGCGCATGCTACCATGTGCGCATGCTACCATGTGTGCATGCTACCATGTGCGCATGCTACCATACCATGTGGGCATGCTACCATGTGCGCATGCTACCATGTGCGCATGCTACCATGTGGGCATGCTACCATGTGCGCATGCTACCATGTGCGCATGCTACCATGTGCGCATGCTACCATACCATGTGCGCATGCTACCATGTGCGACATGCTACCATGTGCGACATGCTACCATGTGGGCATGCCCCCATGTGCGCATGCTACCATGTGCGCATGCTACCATACCATGTGGGCATGCTACCATGTGCGCATGCTACCATGTGCGCATGCTACCATGTGCGCATGCTACCATGTGCGCATGCTACCATGTAAACATACTACCATGTGCGCATGCTACCATGTGGGCATGCTACCATGTGGGCATGCCAGATCAGGTCGATGTCACAGGTGGGTGTGAGGGGCGTCGCTGGGTTGGCCTTCAAGAGGCAGAGGAACATGCGGTAGCGCTGCACTGACCCCCTCAGGTATGCCGCTTGCACCATCCACGGCCGATCCACCTGCCACCACACATGCCCCATACAACATGCACCATGAAACATGCAACATGCGGCATAGGTTGGGATGGAGACAAGTGAGAGGGCGGCAACTTTCAGGTGTGCCGGAATCACCACGGCACCTTCTCTCGCAGCACGAGTGAGCG